GGAATGGTTTGATCATGTACCTAAAAAAAAAAATAGAGAGTAAGTGTACTACACAGTGATTGTCAAATATGTTGACCCAAGTACTCCTAATGACACAAGGGAAAATCTCTTCCAACCCCTCTGCCCTCCTAGTGTGACACAGGGGAGGTCCGTAGAAGAGACAGGTAGTGGCTGCAGTGTAGAATCACGCCCTAAGTGGCAAGCTTTATATTCAAGTTTTAGGCAAGTAATGAATTCTATTCTACAGTATGCTCCTGTTCTTTCCATTTAAAGGATTAGATGCCCTCCTCCCCTAAAAAACAAAACTTAGAGTAGAATTACTACTCCTTGAAGAAGCCTCCTGTTCTCCTTAGTTTCACATTTTTCTCCCTAACACCTTGACATGTATCTGTGGTTTGAGAATCACAACTCCAACCTTTTTCTATGTCAAATTCTCTTCCACTCTTTAACATTCAGTGGAGCATTCTTAAAGAATGATGAGAGGTAATCTCTTAATGAAAAACTGAATCATATGCATACTAAGTCTTATCAAGCAGTGAGATTCTGTTATTTTTAATAGAAAAGTCTTTAAATTACATTCTCTCATAATACTTGAAACTATGAAAAAAATTGAAAAGGTTTAATTATCCTATTTACTGATAAAACTTGCTTTCGCTCCAAATTTTTTACTCTCTCTGGTGTGAGCTGTAGTAACACCGCTGCAGGTGTTTTAAAAGTAAGTTGTATTGATTCAAGACATGTTGAGTATCCGTCCAAATTTTAGTTATGAGGAATAGGTGAAAAGGTTCCTGTCGAGGGGTGTCAATTTGGCCCTAAGAGGCAAACTTTTCTGACAGTTCTGTACAAAGCAGGGGTTTGCTGAGTAACTGCCCCTATTATTTAGTAATTGACCCTGACAGCAGTGAAAAATTGAGGGGAGAGGGCGTGCAGAGAGTTAACAAGAAGAACCTCAAGTAATACAAAATGTCCAGGAAGCAGGAAAACTGAAAACCACACAGTAGAAGGAACATTGTTTCTGCCTAGTGACCGATTTTTCCTCATTTGGCTAAAAAAAGAGGCATGGGACTCAAATGTTCTAGGTGAATGCCAAATTTGAGACCCAACGGAGTGGCAAAACTGGGAGATTTTACTCATCTAGTGGAAGGATTGCCCACATGTCCATTTTAATGGCAGCTCTTCCACAGCAGGTTATGTGTTAAATGCACAGAGAAGGCAACTAAGTACATACTCATGCATTCACATTTTGTTCATTTTTGTATATCTGGTTACCTACCAAGCATAGTACCTTGTACATAGATGAAACTCAGCAATTCACCCACTCATTTGCATAACATATAGCATTTATTAAGCACCCACTATACTCTGGTGATGAGGATACATCAGGGAAGAAAACAAAGCTCCCTGTGGAGTTTATGTTCTGGTATCACCAAGATAATTGCATACTGTGGCTGCAACCTGGGGCATCAGTGGTCCAAAACGTCATCAAATGCCCAGACTCTGGAGCCAGATGGCCTCGGTTTAACAGTATGCTCTGCCACTTGCTAACT